CAGCTAAGAGGAAAAAAAAAATAAGAAATAAAAATAAAAAGCAACGGTTTTCTACACAGTTTTGCAGCTTCCGCGCAAGTGTTCTTTGTAGCAAGGAAATCGTAACGCAGAATGTAGCAAACGAAGAGGAAAACTAACAAATTACGTAAAGTTGATAAACATTGTTGTCCATAATAGCAATCCGTAAATCCAATATACTCGAACAAAGAACTGTCAGGCGTGTGCAATCATCAAACATTTAAAGACCAGCATTTTGCCGGACCAATCTCAATGTAGAGGACCCAGAACATAAAACCAGCGACTGTTGAAGAACATCACATAAGTACACCTCAGAAGTTTTGCTGTATTGCCACAAACACTCCCACTGCAGTAAAACTACACCGCGCAGTTGCTTGTGCGGAATGACTTATATTTKTGCGTTTTTTAGTTCTAAACTGAAGTTATTTGCTTTCGTGCTTTCAATTTTGGCATGTCCACACTTATATTTTATATATAGTATTTGTAAATATGCAAGATATACTCAGTGATGTTTGCTGACTCACCTCATTCTCCAAGATGCTAGCGTCTACGTTTTGTGCCTGATCATTTTTGTTACGTCGATTGCTTTCTCGTGCTCCTTGCTGCTTACGACGCGTGTTTTGGGAGCTGAAAGCAGAGAAGATAAGAAATATGATTATGCAAGACGAAATCTAATGGGGATATTTCTAGTTTAGTTAAAGTTCTAGAAAATAATATGGTAATATGCAAGCTATCGATTCAGAATAGCTCCTGATATTTAGCTCTATAAACCGTTAAACCTTAATTTGATGAGTCTTTAATAACTTTATTAATTCTGCCTATAAAGTATTTTGCTAGAAGATTTATTTACTTTAATTTATTTACTAATAAAAACATATGATTTTGAACTAGTTTACACAAATATCACCACTCTTGAGCTTGTCTTGTCTTGCAGAACGGAATCTATCAAGATATTTAACCATGGTAGTCATCTCTACCTCTCTCGCCTGATTCTGAGGCCGAGCCTATGTATCATAAATGGGATAATGGTCGTCTTAGAAGGATTGATGTTTAGCTCAGCTCCACTGCACCTTCCTTTAACCAGGTTTGACCGCCTTCGTATTAAGTCGCAGAGAGTGTCCTCGAATTTTCCTCTGGCTATAATAACAATGTTATCCGCATATCCTTGACAGTGGATCCCATTGTCAGTTAGCAAAAGTAGTAAGTAGTCCACGACAAGGCTCCATAACAAGTGGGTTAGACTCCACCGTGTGGGCAGCCTCGTTTGGTGCTGAGATGAATCCTATTATCTGTTTTCGCTATTCCGGTGCGCAGTATAGCCTCTATTCATCTGCATACCGGTGAAATCACAGACCTTTTCCCCAGAACTATGTTCCTACCTATGTTTGTGTACAATTAAATTTTTGTGCAGTTGAATAATTTGCTAAATTTTTTAAGCGAGAAGCCAACGCATTCTTCTTCATTTATTTATTTTAAGTCCCCATTGTACACACCAAATATACCCAACATATTCTACTTTGCTACACTTGCAGGTTTCTATGTAAGGATAAATTGAAGCAAGCATCTATGTTGATGACTGAACTAGGCTCGAGTACAAGCAAAATGTAAGCAGGAGATATATAAATCTCGAATTTGGTATTAGAAATGAATGACATCGAATGATGGCTTTGCATATGGCTTCTGGGTAAAAAGTGACAAAGCGGATAAAAGTATATAGAATATATCTGATTCTAAGTCGATGTCCTCAGTACTTCGTATATGGATTGAGAGCAAAAGTAATCATTTAAGACTGAAAAAGTGAAACACGAGGACAGGGTACATCCAGCACGATGTATCTCTATAGGTGTATATTTTGTAATGTGACAAATACAAAAGTAAAAGCAAATGAAATTCTACAAGTGCACATTTATTGTGTTTTCTTGCAGCTGTCGGAAAGGTTTTCCCACAGAAAGGATATGCGACGAGCGCACTTGTGTGATACAAAAGTAGATACTTCGTATGTACCTGAATGCCTGTATACTTGTGTGTGTTTGATGTTTGCCATTTTAGAGGCCACAAAGCGCAGCTGCTTCTTTTACCGACAAGAAGGAGCAAAGGTCAATTTCGTGTGAAGCATATTTTTACCTCTTAAATACATACATACATACATAATATTTGCTTTCTGCTACCTATTTGAAAATACCTGCATGTATATGTGTGTGCTGTAGTGTTTGCGAGCTTTGTGTTTTGAGTAAATGTGATTTTGTAAAAGGGATTTGGTTGACACAGATGTGCACAACTCGTACAACCTAACAACTAGCATTGATTTTCGGTCAGCAGCAACAAGTATTTGCACAACATCAACAGTTGCTGGTGGCTCAACAAATACGTATGCTGCATGAATATTGTTTAAATTGTGTGGGCCACAGGCTCGAGAATTCGTATGTATAAAGATATAAAAAAAGTTGATACAAAATGTTTCATAAGTTTATAATCATAACAAAAATCAAAACTACAAGTGAACGAAAAATAACTATAAACACAAAAAATACCATTCAACCTTAAATAGTTGCAAAGATTTGGTTTAACTAAGTTAATTTAGTTATGAGTAAATGGGTTATCCTTTACTTTAAACCAACAGCAATGTTCAAGATATTGTTTGTGACGTCATCACAGCGTTAAGAAGGCGTGTCGTATTTGGTTTACAGATAAAATGTTTTTTGCGACTACTTTGTTAGGCAATATACCATAAATTTCTGCGATCTTTCATTCTTATAAAATCCTGTCTTACATAGTATATGAAAACGAGAGAATATAAATAGAGAGATCAGAAATTATTATGCATTGCGAATTATTATTTATTCTTGAATTTGGTTTGAGTCAAGGCAGTGTGCATATGTACTATGCTTGTAATAAACTAAATGAGCGACAAAATTTAAGATCTACAAATAAATAAAGAAAATTGTTAGTTAGTAAATTGCTACAGAATTTAAAGGAAAACAGTTTACAATTTAGTTAAAAGGGAGAAGAAGGAGGACAGGGTAGATACCGGTGCTGACTCGAAGATAATGCCGAAAATTTATAGGGATAATCATTAAATATTCCACAATAAAATAAAGCTAGATGCCTGACATTTTTTTAAGAGAACATCCAAAGTCTTACACAGTTTTGGCACAATGTATGATGCTGCATTTCAGTTCAACGGTTCATTTAAGGGGGAGCCTGCTTTAGAAGCTTCCGATATTTTATTTTTTTTTGCTAGAACAAATTTCGAGTTAAACGAACCATTCCGCCGTATATGTCACGATTTCAATTCTCATTCCAGCACATTTGATCTAACAGATTCACTCTTTACCATTAAAAAAATTATTTTATCTACTCTTAACAAGTAACATTTAAAAATTGTAAACTTTAATCTAATTCTTAGTTTTGGCTGTTGAAATTTTTGTTTCTGTAGCTGAGCAGCTTAAGATCGCAACGATTAAAACTCCCTGGCCTATTATGACTAGGCTAATTCCGCTCGTTCGCGGATTGCGCCCCTCGCGTCGGTTGGGCGGGAGGAGGTTAATCGTTGGGTGTTATTATTAAATCCCTATAGAAATTATCTAAGAATATGTACCCAAAGTTATAGATGGGATTTGGAAAGCTAGAGATGAATTAGTGGCCGCGCGTCTAGCAGATGTATAAGCGCTTGGGCAGAAAGGGAAAATCTTGATGCGCGATTTCTAGATTTTTTCATTTTTCTTAATTGGAGGGCAGGATAGAAAAAAAAACTAAACGTAGTATGGAATCGGGGCAAAGTTTATTATTTTTGGCAATAAATTATATTTTATTTAAATTTAAAAAAAAAAAAAAAACTAAGTAAAAACTAAAACTTTGAACATATTTTTAAATAACATAAAATAAATTTTTTTGGTCAAAAATCACTTTTTAAATATTTTTAAACACTTCTAGAATTTTACACTATTTTGAGAATTTTCTTAGTTTAACTAGAAGATAGATTATTAAAAATAATGAATCTTTTTGAAATTTTTTGTTTCAAATGGAAATTGCTACCTTAATCCTACCCGTCACGCACATGCGAGATGCATCGGACAATTGCTTCCCAAAATATATAAAAGATTTCGTACCCAAAACATTTGCGGATGAAGTTTAAATGTATAACTATAAATCCTAAAAATTTCGCTTTAATCAATTATTTCTTTGCCTTCCAAAAAAATTTTCAAACAAAAAAAAAAAATAAAAAAATAAAAATAAAATAAAAGGACTTCTTAGAGCCTCTAAAGCAGATTGCCCCCTAAATAATCAGTTTATGCATTTACCACGTGAGAAGAAGAAATATGCAGTTCAGTCGCTAAACAGATTGGGAGGTGGCACGATGAAGTTTTGAAAATGTTAGTCTGCCTACAGCCTTGGAGATTTGGTACTAATTAAGGGCATGACTACACCTTTATATCGGACAATCGGCTTTTCAACATGCCGACTGGATTTTACAACACGACAACGCTGCATGACATAAAGGATAGTTATTTACGAAAATTGGTCCAAATGGACAGTTGCAGAGTCAACTTAGTTGAATAAATTCCAAGCAGATTACAGGGAATCTAAAGCTTAAGTTTTGTGTAAATACTTTTAACTACCGTTAATCAACAGATTATTTCTCTGTATTCGATCCTATGTACCGTTCTCTGACCTTAGTTGCTTCAGCATAGACTAAAGTCTACAACAACAATGCATTTTTTGTACAGCAATAACATCAGCAAGAAGAAACGACATCTGTGGCATGTGCTTTTACAAACATTCAAAAATATGTAGTATTTCTGATGTGATCTAAGTGCAGAAAATACTAAACCATAGACACAATGACTTCGAATGCTTAAGAACCACTAACAATCTTTTAATTTTTAACTGAAGAATGCTAATATTGCTAAAACAAAAAATTCTAAAGCAACTGAAATTAGTGTTAATGCTTTATTAATATATGGATGAATATTTTGAGTTCGGTCTAAAAGAGGCCGGCACATATTATTAGACAACTTATTTAACATCTGAATTAAAACTAAGCTAGATAGTTCTTACCTATTCGTATTTTCTCCAGCCGTGGTCATATCGGCAGAGGTTAAAGCTTCCGTGCCTTCACGTTCATGAACAAGACGTTCTATCACAAAAAATGAAAAGCAATAGTAATAATATTCAAATATTATATATAGTTCTACTTCAACGCCAATTACAAATACAAATAAATTTTCCTATAGGCAACTCCCTCACCTGATTCCTGCAGTTTCAGCTCTTCTGGTTGTTGCCCGGGTTTCGCCTTCACATCAATAGTGATCTCAGCAGAGCTGTGCCCCGCATGACAGGAATATACACCAGCATCACGGAATGTTATATCCAAAATGCGTAGAGCACCTTTCTTAGAGACTTTAAACTTACGCGAACGTGCCAAGGGTTTGTGATCCTTACTCCACTTTATCTTAGTACGGTTATAGCGTTTCACGGGACATTTTATTTTCACTTGTGTGCCAAAGAATACCACACCGGCACCACCAACTTTCAACGTGATCTTCGCCTTTTTGGGATCGTGTTGTATATGCGTTGTATTGCTAACTTGTATGACGGGTTTGGGATCCTCCACGGGACAGGGTTTCACATTGCAAGGTTTTTTATCTGGCGGTTTGGCGCTCGGACACATCGATTCGGGGCGCTCAATTTTATGCTCCTGTGCCATAATCTGCTTACACTCCACTTTACGTTCCTTGATGCCATAACCGCAAGTGTGCGAACATTTCGACCATTCACCTACCTCCCAACGTACCGGACAGTCGAGCACATTGCAATACTGGCGATCGGCTGGTGGCGGTTGTGGACACATGCTATTCGGCACAACCATGGTATTCTCGCCACCGCGCGTCACCTCGTGTATGCACTGAACTTCGCGTGTCTTAATGCCAATGCCGCATGACTTCGAACAGGGCGTGTAGTCGGAGTAATTCCAGCGCGGTGGGCAAGGTCGATCGTTGCAAGTACGCACTCGTGCTTCAGGTTTGGTTTCGGGCGTACATAGGAATGGTGACACCACGCGTCCATTATCTTCGCGTACACAATTTATTATCAACTCTTCAACGCCACCCAAGCAGCTAGCGCTGCACGAGGTGTAACCTTGCTCTCGCCATACATATGTTTTACCGGGTTCGGATACACCCACCTTAATGGAGTCGCGTAGATATTGATCATCGTAAGCATGTGAGGGCAGCATACATGGTTCCTGGACACAACGTTCTACTTCATCGTGCGGTTTGACACCTTCGCATAGTGAATCGTTCACGGTTGCGATGGTGCGCGAGTATTCGAGAAAGATTTTGCAGCGATAAATTCGTCGGCGTACGCCCTCACCACAGGTAACGCTGCACGGTGACCATTCGCTGTCTTTGACGAAGCTGATGTGGAAGTGAAGAGTAAATATTGGTGATACAATTTACTTTTAGAATTAAGAAGATACAATTGGAAATATTTATATTTAATTTAATTTAAAAAGTCGTAAGTGAATGAGCAATGGAAAGTGGACTACATTTAAAAAGGTAGATATGCGTTATTGATAAGTTAACAGATGTCCAAGATATATCGTGCAACGAAGGTATATTTCTTTCGGGAGTAAAAATAAAAGCTGACATCCAGTACGAAACATTAAGGTGACACTGGATAAACACAGGTTCAAGACAGGTTCAAAGAGCGTGCCGATCTTCTCAGGTCGAGAAAGAAGCCAGTGTTTTTCCGGTCTATCAGATCAGGAAACGAAACCCACGGTTTTAACAAATAGCGAGTCAAAGTTTTCCAAAATTCAGGACATTTATAAAGACATAAGTATAATCCAAACATTGTAAAGAAAACCATAAGGAATTACTTTTCATAGAACGGGAGAAGCTCACCCAAACCTTCAGAAGAGCTTCCAGAGTCAGTTCAAGCATTATGGATGCGTAAGGGACTCCAATTTTAATTAATGAAATCATTTGAAGCTGTGGGATTATAGATTTTTGGGTTCTGATCAGTACGTTTTTTTAAACGTCATCAAAGAATGTGGTAGGAAGTTATAATCTTGGACTCAATTCGGGCGCTTCTCTCAACTTACGGTCAGTATAATCGACAATACCATTACCCATTCTGAGATTCAGAATTCCTTACTATATAATATTCTACCAAATAGTAGATCATGTCCAGCACGTAGTGAAGAAGATATAGCAAGCGAAACTGAGAGTGTATACGAAGACCGTGGAGAGTCGATATGGAACGGCTAGGTGCATTTTACCTCGAGATCTTCAATTGAAACTATACAAAACAGCCGCTCGACCTTCCCAAGTGACATCGCTTCACTACATGGACTCTAGAAAAGTTCTAAGAAGATYGTTTTTGAGTCTAATTTTATTCAGCGGTGAGGCAAATTTCTGGGTCAATGGGTACTATTATCGCGCACTAACAACAACCTATTTAATGCCTGTAGTTGAAGCTCATGATCTCCCTTACTTTCAACAAGATGGTTACACTTCACACACATCTCAATAATCAATGGATTTATTGAGAGAACACTTCGGGCGCCCATAGTTTCCGTTTTTTGCCGGCCAATTGACCAYCAAGGGCGTGTGATATCATACCGTTAGACTTTTTCATGTGAGGATTTGTAAAGTCATTAGTCTATAAYACAAATAATCATTATTTTCTTTGCCAAAAAAATGCTATAAAGCAAAAAATATTTCTGACATTAAAGSAAAATGCTTCTAGTTGTTGGTGGTATCACACGTAGCATTATAGAAATAGTAAMATTTTTGGTGGCGACACTGAGACGCGCCACAAAGTCTGTTTGCTGTCAGCACAAATAAACTGGCAAATATCTTCGAAATAATAAAGATACGAAACAATAACCACAACAGCAGAACATTTTATTAYCGGGTAGRAATTGGCCTACTCCAACTGCCGCATATGCAAGATTTCAAGCATTTGAGGCGACTGACTGTTGATTGCAAAGCCGATTACGCACAGTGGTTTAGGATGAGTAGAATGACAGATAAAATTGTTAAGTAGTGAAAGCTTTCAATAGGAAAAATATAATAAAATGTAATGAGAAATTGCGAATAAAGATACCAGAAGTTTCTAAAAAAAGATAAAAAAAATTTCTATATGATATTTAATTGGCGGAAGTTTGTTTAAATAAGTTCTACTTTAAGCGATTTAAAAAGAAGTTTTTGAATATTTTCCTAAGTTTTCAAGTTTCCGAGTAATACTTTCAGACATATAGCCGTGAAAAGTTGTGTGCTCGAGGTCAGCTATATAGTCCCTTAAATCTTTAAACTGTGTTTTTGAAGTCGGTTGGCAACATTTCTGTCACGAAATTTTCATTGAAATTTTAATTTTTTTTTGTAATACTGTCTGCCAAAAATCCAATTTTATTTTGTTTTTCCTCCCTCCAAGTTCGAAGTTAAGGTTTTAACTAAAACACGTATTTTTTACTTTAGATGATCTGGTAAGGATTTATCCTGCCATGTGGGCGTGTCTTTTTTCCGAGGGGTCACCGGAATTGGCGACGCAATGGCCGAGTTTAAAATATTTTTTTTCCCAAAAATTTTAAAATTTCTTTGTTTGTAATGGTTGTTTGTAACAATTAAAAATTCTAGTAAAATATATAATTTTTTTAATGAGAAAAAAGTTTTTGATAATGGACGTTTTTTAGCCAAGGAAACCCATGTAACGCCTTAAAGAGTCACAAATGATTACTTACAAATTTTGAATAGTTAATTAAATTTCCAAAACTTCCAAATCATATTTGACTTCATTAAAATTTAAAACTTTCGATGAAATTATGAACCATATTGATAAGTCTCACTGTGCAAAAGCGCTCCACAACTAAAAGGCGACCTACTTTCTTGCTATGCGCCCAAAGATATGCCTCGTTGGCTTATGCTTTTCGGTTTGTGTGGCTGTAGAGAAGGCAAGAGAAACAGCGCACTGCGGTCGAAGAAAGTACTACGCAGGAAGTAAGCCAAGATGAAGCAGGCGAAGAAAAAACAAAAACAACAAAAAAAAAAATGTATGTAATACAATTGCGAAAATATAGTAAAATCTATAGAGTGTGAGCTTGGCGCCAAAGCACCCGTCGGCAGAGAGACCAGCCAGCCGCCAGCAAAAGGCCAAACAGCCTTCGAAATGGCCAATAAATATTTTCAAATAAAAAAAAAAAAAACTAATTTTTTACTAACAACTACTACGAATATCTGCAGGGACAATAAATGTAATCAATATTATTACAATTCGAAGAGTAAGTGGAAATTAGTGGTGCTTGGGCAGCCGTAACGGCAGCGAAAGAGCTTGGGGTTTGTTGCTTGGGTTTAGTTTGGTTTCGTGGTTTTCCTTTGGCGACAGCTGAAAACAAATAATGAAATAATAAATTGGCTGTGGGTGGACCACAAATAGTGTAATAAAATGTGTTTAGTAAAAATTTGACTTTGGTTTGTTTTCGTATGTCCTTTATCGTTGCTGCATGTTACTTTCGTTGGATATGTGAGTGAGACTTTTAAAAAAAGATATTATTAAGTTACAAAGAAGAAGACATTAGGGCATAGGCTAAGAAGTAGGGGGGGATAAAACAACAATAAGTTGGAATATCAATTTGATTTGTTATTATTTTAACTTTTTTCTTCTACTCAATTCGTCTAAATACTAGGTCAGTGGAGACGTACAACATTCGAACCTCGTGCATAAATAAAAAACTATATAAATGAAAAAAGAAAATAACGAGAAACTCAACAGCAAGAAAAATTAGATTTCTTGTTCTAATTATTGTGTCCGATTGTCCGCACCAAATGTCCCATTCGTTGTGGCATTATGACGCTTATCGGCAGCACTTGATCTAATACGCGAGGGACCGAGCAGCAAGTATATGCACCAGCGCTTGGTAAATCATTGCAATAACAACCCAATCATTGTGTGCTCCATAAGCACACCTCTGCATCATTAAATAAATGTTTGGCGTTGGGAATAAGCGCTTAAGATCATTAGTGGCGCCACATTTCATGTGCTCAGTCATTTCATTCGCTCGTTCACTCATTGAACAACTAATGCTTCGGGGCCTTTGAGCAAATAAGCGGTCATTTAATGGTTATCACCGCAATTCACTATTCTGTTTACTACAGTGTCATCAAGCAAATGCGATAACTCTCGCCTTCATCAACGAGCGCCACTCTCCTGCTCAACGTTTTCGCTGGAATTTATTACTTTGTCTGTTTGGCTTAAGGTGTTGCAAACTACCTATAATTTCTGTGTTATTACTTCTCGAATTTCCGCTTATGCTAAACGTGCAATGAAAATGTTTCATAGTTTGTTCACAGTGTGTGTGCTCTGAGTTGAAGGCACGAATTTCCGTAACAGTCGTAAAAATAAAGAGAAATAAAATTGTTGTGGAACTGATAGGTGGACTAAGTGAAAGACTTAAGCTCTTTAGTAGCGGGGAAATTCTGCAAAATGTGAAAAATATCCGTTTTATAGTAGGTAAAGTTGAGTGCCGTTAAATAGTTATGACATCCAGATGTCTAATATTTCAATGTACCTTTTGGGGGGCTATTTTTTAACACTTTGTATTTAGATCTTATCAAATACAAATCTTAACGGTTTCCATGCATCTTAGCTGAAATTATTCAAGGTCCATTTCTGACTCAACAAATCTCTGTTAGAACTGAAACCAGCATTGATAGTAGTCGATTTTTTTTTTAATATTTTTAGAAAGCTCGAGCAGCCATAAGCGAAGTCAGTGTCCCATAAAGAATTTCAAGATACGATTTTCGAAGACCACAAAAGTTTTACAATGAATAAACTGAGTTAATAGCCTTAGTAGATCTCTTATCTTAACTAAAAAAATTTAAGACGATGATATTGATATCATTGGCCTCAGGATCAATTGTCACACTCGCCACTAGACTTCCACGTCTCTGTTGACAGTCATGACACTAACAAAAATTTCAGGAGCAGGCATCCTAACCGATGACTACACCTCTAGCTAGTAACTGAACTCCATCTGGTATGGCTAAGGAACAAAACTGGTCTATGCGTGGCTCATTGGCCTACCAGACTAACCTAACCTATAAGGTAAAACTACTCGAATTTCGAAATATAAGCCTGTTTTTCTAATCGTGACGTTCGATGTTTTACTGTGTGCAAAAAATAATAAGACTTTTTAATGTAAATTTCTCAAAGTTCATTAGTCGACATTTTTTTTGCTACGTTTGTATGATTGTCAGTGACATCTCTGAAAAATGTCACAGTAAAATAATTATTAGTGTTTAGTATATGCTCTTCTTTTTGAAGTACGGACATTTTTACGAAGAGTTTTGTGTGCGGAATCAAATTTCTGGTGCCGAAATGTTGGAAATGGCCTTCTTCGAAAATTGTTTGTCGCGAGCAAAGAGTGTCGAGAATGGGGAACCAAGTCCATACGACAATCAGCATAAACTGATAATTAATACATCAACAAAATAAATAAATTGGTGCTTGAGATTCGTATGTTAACATTCAGAGATCTTACTGCCATCGTTGGAATATCGAAAGGATTTGTGAAAAGTATTTTGAAATACCATTTGGCCTTAAGAAAACTGAAAGCATGATTTGTTCCAAAATCACACAAATTTTTCGAAAAACAGCGTAGCGGTAACGTCTGTTAGGCAATGCTTTCCGACTATTAGAATGTCTTGAAACGTATTATTGCTGGCGATGAGTCTTGTATCTATAAATACGACTCGGAAACAGACGACCAATCGGCCGAATATCGTGGCAAAGATGAGCCGAACCAAAAAAAACCATGTCAAAGCATTTAAGAATCAAGGTTATGTTGACAGTTTTCTTTGATTAACGAGAGGTGGTGCACTGCGAATTCCTTATGCCTGGCCAAACTGCCAATTACTACTACTACTTGAGTGTTATACGTTATTTGCGAAAATTTTTTCAGGGCTGCCAACTCTTGGTTTTTGTAACACGATAATGCACCGTCACATACTGCATTGATTTTTCCTGAGTTTTGCGCCAAATTTTCAATCAATATAATAATATAAACTTGGAAGCAAGAGACCACTGCGCTACGCGAAAGCTGTAATTACGAGTCCACTCGAGATTTTATCTAGACTAAAGCAAAATTCCTAACGACTCCACCGCAGGTAATATTAAATTTCTAAAGTAGTTACTTGCATAAAAATGAGACTGATAGAAATCATTAAGGTGCTAGCAGACATTTTAATGTATATGAATGAAAAAAAAATTCTCGGTTACAAAGTCAACAAATAGAAGCATAATAATATGGGGGATATATTAGTGTAAGATATATACCAAAGAAATTGGATATAAATATACATACACGCATTACACACACCTACACATGGATCTAAATAAATATCTAAGTATATGGAAGAAAGTTAATTTTCTGTCAAAGTAAGTATAAGAAATAACCTCACGCATATAAATAAGTGTATTTAACATACTCAAACACACATATGTATATAAAATTATTCTTACCTGCTTTTACTGTCTACTTCATAGAATTTGTTTCTATAGAAGTGACAAACTAGAGAATGTTAACTAACGCACAAGTGATTAAACGATTTAATGTCTGCGCGTCTGGGACGATGAAATGAAGTGCAAGTAGAAGCCCATAGAGACGTCTATGAATGCGTAACACGGCCACTTCTGGCGAGACAAGTAGACTCTAATACCGATTAAGTAACAGAGTAAAGCTAGATTACAACGGGATGGAGGAGAATGTTGCACTGAACGGAGCTATGCGTTTTACTTACGTACGTTATGTAAAGAACTAAAGCTTGTCAACAGACAGTTGAGACAGGCGAAGCTAACATTGGGGGTGGAGAAAATGCTAGAAGGTGATTAGCAAAAAGAAATCCCTAAGTGACCACTATGTAATCCAGTATAAGTACATCAACTTTGGTGTAATGTATATATACATGTTTATAATGAAGCAGACGAGGTCGTCTAATTTGCAGTAGCAAAAAGCTTAGACTGGAGTGAGTTGTTATTGCTGTCGGCAGCACACGTGTCGGAAATGTATCTGTTTGAAACTGTTTGGAGTTGAAAGAACATATTTAAATTTTTTTTACTAGTTTGCGTAAGCAGTATGGTATCTTTAAACATTCTATTTTAAAACTGAGAGTCCTACTTAAGTTTTATTAAAATAAAGTTATAAAGTATAACAGACCTCAAGACCAAGACCAAGACCAAGACCACGGTTAAGATCAAGACCAAGACCAAGAACAAGACCAAGATCAAGACTAAGACCAGGACCAAGATCAAGACCAAGACCAAGACCAAGACCAAGACCAAGACCAAGAAAAAGGCCAAGATCAAGACTAAGACCAGGACCAAGATCAAGACCAAGACCAAGACCAAGACCAAAACCAAGCCTAAGACGAAGATTAAGACCGAGATCAAGACCAAGCTCAAGACCATGAGAAAAATCTACACCAATAATAAATAACAGTTAAAGTAAAAGTAGAAGGCCTTCGAAAAGTTATCGCATCCACAGTGTGAACTGTGACATGTCTTTCTGAAATCATTAGAATTATATAGTATCTAAAGGCAGATAAGCTTTTTGACCAATTTAAGAGATATTTCCGCTTACCTTGGGTCACCAGCAGGCACCTCTGACTCTGTATCCGAATTACCACGATAATCATAACCACCACCACCACCAGTAAGCCGCTCGGCATGTGGCTGCTGGGGTTCTTCATGATGCAGATGACTGACCGAGCGATGTGCGTACTGTGGTGCAGACTCATCATGATATGTCACCAAGCCGGCATCGCCATTGCGAACATCACTAGGTTCATCAGCGCCCTCCTCAACATCATCTACATCCGCGGAGTCGTCGTCATCCTCTTCATCGTCCTCATCGACATCCGCATCATCCGACTAAAAAAAGAAAGTGAATTATTTTTTGTAGAAAATTGCCTGTTTGATGAAGTTTTCTACACTGCGTACATATGTATATATATATATATATATATATATATATTTCTTATTTATACGCATATTTCCATTGTTCAATTGTTTTAATATGTTGACTACTCACCGATGCGAGGGGTCCGCTGCTGCCGAGTATAATCGTACCGCCGCCGTTGTCACATGAAACCCCTGTTGAGCATTGCTGCACCGATGCGGGCTTCGTAAGTGGGTCGCATTTGGCGCTGTGTCTGCCATCGGCCGATTTGCATTCTACTCCACGCATCTGCAAGCCCTGCCCACAAGTTACCGAGCACTATGTGTGGGATCAAAGGCAAAAATACCCACACAAACATTTATGGGTATGTAAGCCGCAGGGCATTTTCGAATAGTTGAGTTGTAGAGTTGCATGGTTGAAGCATATTCATATACCATACAGAACAAGTTGTTTTTTATTTTTGTCGGTTGGACCATCCCAAGTGAGATAAAAGAAAATGGCAAAAAAACGATAAGGAATTATGAATTATTTAAACGTGTTTGGAATTAAAATTTCCATAAAATTTAATGGGTACAGTGAGTATATAATTACGCAAGAAGTAGTGAGAAAGTCTAAGCTATATGCGAATTCGGTAAAGGAACAACAAAAATGAAGACGACAGTAAAAAGAAAAAAGTGCAGAAGAGTAGCCTGCTAGTAAATGTGGGTAACAGTTTATTGTGCGAAGGATGATAAGCTGAAAATATTTACGAGGACGGAACTATATGTACGTAGGCTATAACAGAACAGCAAAATTGTTTGAAAAAAATTGGCGTTTTAATCCTCATAGTCTTCTTTCGAAGATTAGTGCTTCAATTTCTTTACGCTGGTTAGCCTGATTATGATTATTGGTGGTCGTTCAAGTAGGCATCCACGTTCGACTCAAATTTTTAGTCATGTTTAGAAATAAAAAGAAGTTGTATCTGGTGAAAGCTGGATAGCACAAGATGGAAGTAGGCAATGAAATTCAAACTATGCGGCCATGACGACGAAGGAGTTCAGTCCTTTGTGTTCTCATGGCGGAATATTATTTTTTTTTTAGGAAGTTTTGCAATTTGGCGTTCAATTAGCCGCATATTTCGGCATATTCCCATCAGATGTAATACACTTATATCAATGATTGTGCAGCCCCCAAAACACTTTTCATAAGCACTTTTTGGAATGGACTTCAGCTCCTGCAGCGAATTTCATTTTATATCTTCGATCGATTGATAACGGGTTCGGCGGAGCGGATATTTCAGTTTGGAGAATATAAAAAGGTCACACGGAGCCCAATCGGGTGAATATTGGGGATGGTTATTGCATTTTTGGCTTTAAATCCGGTCCCAATTGTGGCTCGATGCGATGGTGCATTACCACCGTATAGAATCCATGAATTGTTCTTCGACCATTCCGGCCTTACGGTATTCGTTATGAAAAAAATTCAGCCTTAACAGGACGCAAGAACGCGTTTTATACCCAAAACCACCAAAAACATTCGAACGGACCCGCGAGAGATGTCTAGCTCTTTTGGCATTTTTCTAACACTTTTCTGATTCAAGCACTATACATTTCTCCATTTCTCTTTTTTAGTATTTTCTTTGGTTCAAGAGGTCGAAGGTATTCCAGAATGAGGCATATTTTCAACGATCTCTCGACCGTTTTTAAAGGTTTTATTCAACGCGAGGGCTTGTTTTTTTTTTGTTTGTTTATTGAACCACCTCGTACATCTCTGAGGATGTAACCATAAGGGTCTTACTGTTACTTGGCTTCTTTTAAACTATTTACATATGCCACTTATATAAATAAAGTGGGTGCGGTTAGCACCGCCTTGAATGCTAAAAATGCATATAAAGAGGATGCTCAGTTTTTTGTGTGTTACTCGTATTAAGATTCTTAAATACATATATACATTTATTACATATGAGATTAACATATATACATAACTTTTCAGTAATGCTGACTAAACATATGCAAAGCTCGGAACCTTCATAATCACAAACTCTTAAGAAATTGGTTTGTGGCCACAGTCCCATTTGTATAATAATGCAATATTAAACAAACTTTAAGAGTTGCCATGGCATTGAGAAAAAGGTTTTAAAATATTCATATTCAAATACGTTGAATGATTTTTTTTAAATAACATAAAATACATTTCGCGACGTTTTAGCACACAATAATATACTCCCCCAAATAATTCTCTAGATATTCGGTTGATGGGAAGATTGGGTATTTATATGACTTTAATTTCTGTATGTTTTAATGTAGCTTGTCTTACAATCCAATTTAAAATCATTTTATTTAAGGAATATTCAAATGAGCGGATTAGAGCTATAGGCATTTAGTTCAGAAACCTGCAACTTCACCACATCGCACAGTCGTTAATGAAATAATTTTTGAGCTGTTCAATGACTGATTATTAGAGAAAGGTAAGCAGGTTTCGAAAAATTTTGGATATTTTGCTGTAAGCTTGCAAGGGAAGTTCTCTTGSAAAGCGAATATTAATACCTAATCTAAACCACAATGAAGCCGATAGTATTTTATGTGGGAAACCTTCCAATAAGATAAATTCTTATATAGCGACCCATTAAATTTACATTCAGGAATCGCGACTCATGGCATAAATGTATTTGAAAGTGATGTAGAACATTTTCTCCTATGTATATATGTACAATTCCAGAGTCAACGATAGCACCATCACCACCATATCGATGCGAGTCTAACCAAAACATCTGGCAAAATACGATGTACACTTTTTTAATGACAATCAATTTGAATTACGTTTCAAATCCATAACTGATGGCAACCCTTTGCAGTATCAATCCTAATGCCTTCTCGAGCGCAAGCAAAATAGTTGACTTATACTCACAAGCTAAACAGTGTTATGTATGCAAATATTTAGTTTTTTTTACTGCTTTGCAAATAGATGATCAAACAATGAAGGTGTTRAAAATGATTTAACATTACATGGGTTGCGTTTTRTGTTTGGTGATTTGGTAACCGTTTATCGTAAAGCTTAACATTTTTGATGTTAAACACACTCAGACATCTCTCTCTCAATACTTTGTGTTGTTTACAGTTACATGAAATATGCAACTCAGCCAACAAATATAATTAAACCGTGAACATTTTCGACTGAACCCAATGTATCAATGAACTTAATTCAGTTTTTGGCGATCAAAGGCCAGTGCTTATCGATGGTATAAATAATGCAATGGAAGTCGGAGGTTACTCCAGAGGAATCTACTGAAGGTCGTCCAAAATCAGTTGYTGTTTCGGAAACTATGGATGCTGCGTACAAACTAATACTAATCGGATTGATGGCAAGTGACCAAAAATAAACGGCCATATCTCCGACCTTTCTCGCTCTCTCGCTGCACGGAACTTAATATTCTCCACCGACCATATTCACGAACTGGGCGAAGGAGTTTAGGTTTGACTATATTGCAGTCAGTGGCGTTAGGATTCCGAAAGTCAAGAACCCTAAAATTTTAGTTGGGGCTTTTAACAGTCTGTGATTCTKTATAAAACGGCGAATATCGCCAAAGTACAGAGTCGCAACAAATCTTCAAGTCGCTAGCCGGCAGCACATGGGGAAATAAAAAAGAAACGTTGTTGGCAACATACAAGGGAAAGGCCGGCCGATCCTTAACTACGCCACACCAATATGGACGCTTAGATGCAGTGGAAAGCAGAGGAGGAAGCTCCAAACTTATCTGAACACTGCACTTCGGATTACGACAGGATGCCTCCTATCGAACATCTGCATAGTGAGACCCGTGTACTCCAAACTAAGAAGCTTAATGAACTTCTCTCTAAGCAGTTACAGCTAGAGTACTTTCGTAGATCCCTGCAGTCATCTGATTTTAGCGGAACCGCCTCAACTGCGTCGATAACATTCAAACAATACATCGACCAGACTTCGGGCGTAACTAACTTCCGACAATCCCTGACCTCTTTGCCTGCCCTTCGAACCCTATCATCTGACACCTTTCTCCCTTTGGTCCGACTCCGTCGAAACAGCACGTCCCGGACTTACAGCTGGATGACCTCAACGACAACTTATCTAATCTTACCATCTTAACGGGGATTAGGTACTCAACGCATGCAAAAGTGTATAGATCTGAATGAAGAATATTTGGAACAATAAAGCGATTTTAGATTATCAAAAATTATTTTGGTTTCTAATCCGAAAATATGGAAGACAGCCTGCGTAAAAACATACTGCAGATTGTGGATACGTATATGCCACAGAAAGTGAACTGCCTGGACGTATGTACTCATATAGTGCCTTATGATATTACACAAGTATGAGCTTATGTTGATACAAATATTTTTGAGCACATCGAGTCATAAACGAGTGCTCATGTCGGATTTACAAACTTTCAATGAAGTTGATTATGCGTTCGCGTGCGTCGTCCCAGGAGTTTTATGCGAAATAACCCTTTCAAGTAGCTAACTTTAGTTCATCTCAACAAATATGCACTACTTAGGCGTAGACGCAAAAGTGTAATAAAATAGAAAGGCTCATCAAAATTGTCGGAAGGGGTTGCAACTACTTAGAATATGTGTATATACGAGTATTATATGTATGAGGTGGGTTAAGTGAATATGAGACGAGGCAGCAATTCGCTGCGTTTCAACAAGTGGTCCTGTAGAGTGGTAGTTTAGTGCAGGCAGACAGCGTAAGGCTGCTTCTTACAAGCTCGTCAGAGTTAGTCAGTGAGTCATCTTCATCATGATGTAGTTAAATGATGTCGATATTGTTGTTGTTTTTCGTGACATTTCAGCTGCGTTTCAGCTCGAGTGCAATTACGATATAAGATACCTTCAAATATTTAACATAAACACTTTCAGCCTGCCCTCAGGAGAGCTGTCGAATGAGATGTGCTGCCTGTTTGCCGAGTGCAAGTGAACTTTGTGAAGGAGGCATAATTTTAATAAGGCATTTCCTCCTTTTTTCTTTCGTCACTGAGAGGAAACTGTGTACTGTTTGGTTCACTGCGACGAAGCCATTGAAAACAATCTCTTATTTAGTGCTAGGCGTTTTTCTATCATGAATTCATAGAAATTCCAGACTTATACATTTTGGTAAAACCGATTAAATGTTCATATGACGCCTTCTGATCAACTCTTAGTCTACTTTATCCCCATAATTTAGATAATTCTTTACGATTCATAGTTTATTATAATATACCCTCTTACAGTACAATCTCTCAATATCATGAGTAATAAAGTGTTACCCCATCAAAAATATTTTAAAAATATGTAAATCAAAAATATATAAAGTTCAGCCTTTCTGCATTAACTAAAAATTACAACTGTGAGAGTCTGCCAAATAATTTCACGCAGAATATCATCACAAAAGTAAATCACCTGCAAATGAAAGGTTCACACTTATAAAAGCGCAAAAAGTCGCAAATTTTACAACATAAAAGAAAAGTTGGTTGCTTAAAAATGTGAAAACTGGCAAACTTCAAAAATCACACAAAAACAAGAAAATGAAGAAGCAAGAACTGTTAACAACACAAGCTTTAATGCTTTTAACTCTACCACGAAAGCGTGCGCACGCTACATTTTATAATACTGAGCATACTCACTCCAGTCCATTCTTCCACCTCCCATGTTGGGCACTTCTCTATCATGCACGGTTCTTGTGTGGCTGGCTTTGGCGCTCGACACGTCACATCCAGCACCTGTAATGATGGACACGATGAAAGAATAATACAAAAACAAAGAACACGAAGTAAAAGTGTAAATTATAAAAGAAACCGCCGATGGTGGGTGAAAATTTCACGAAATTTGCCAAGTTACCGCAGAACAACAAAAACAAAAAAACCAACCCACTCCAGAAAAGAAGGGGGATGGATAAACGTTTAGTAGCAATTATTAATACAATGGCGGACGGGCTGCTCGACACGCTTTCAACTGCGCACACAGAAGAGCTGGAAGCGCTTTTTGATTGGCTTCAAAGCGACCGAAAAGGAAAGTTCCRAAGCAATAAACTCAATAGAATGAAAGAAAAGAAGCGCGAAGCTGGGTATGAATAATATTAAGACTTTCTTTTTTCACGTTTTTTTTGATTGTTCAGTCGCTTTCTTACTGCTTTCCGGCAAACTGTTACTTTTTTATGACTCAATTTGCGCTTACCGTTGTCTTGATGCCATTATTCTCCTCCGCACACACCACCATGCGCTCGCGGTAGCCAGGTCCGCAGAGGCGACTGCATGGACTCCAGTCATCAGTGATCCACCTGAAGAGAAATGAAAATGAAAACAAAAAGCAAATAGTTTATTTCTTTTTATAAAAGGTACTCCTTATGGGTATAGAAGGTAAATATTTATTGCAAGGTTGTGGTACAAGCTCAATTCGTAATTATAACCGTTTAAAGAATAACTTTTTCTAAATTTTAACTAATTATTGGTGTAAAAGAAATACTCCCAGAAAAGTAAGTTAAGTACTCAGAGATTTAGAGGACTTATAATATAAACATGCAAGCCAATCTAAAGCAGATACGCTTTACAAGCGTTTAACCATCTAAGCTCAAATTAATGGTTTGAGGTCCCATATTTTCGATATTGGATCTCAACGACACGATGAAAATGTTCTCCAACAGACAGAAATTTACATGGCTGATATGGTATGGATAATTCTAATAAAGGTTATAGCCTTTTTTATTTCGAATATTCAATAAAATTATAATAGTTGCTTTAACTTTGTTTTTTAGTTGGTTACCTGAACTTCATTTTATAAACTACATAACTTAGAGCAATATCTATAATGAAGCTTTCTGCGTTCTCATAAAGCTAAACACCAATATCTAATGTTGCTGTTGCCGCCCTCGAAAACAATTTCGTTTATTCAGCTTTTATGCAAACGAGACACGAAATGGCGAAGAAAAACAAGTTAGCTCGAAAGTGGAATTGGTGTTAYTGTTGGTGAGTGTGCGGGTTGGAAGCGGCAGAAGTTTCAAGAACTATTAGTGGTGACGCATTAACAGTAATTTAAGTGAACATACGAGGTGTGTTCAAAAAGTATAGCGAATTTTGTGTTTTTTCTAAAATTATTTATTTATTCATGAATATCYATTTTGTGCCCTTCAAAGTAATCCCCATGAGATATTATACAGTTGTGCCAACGGTTTTTCCAATCTTCGAAGCACTTCGAAAAATCATTTTTTTTTATCTTCTTCAGCTCCTCCTTTGATGCCGTCCTTATCTCGTCAAGAGAAGCGTAACGTCGTCCTTTCATGGGCCTCTTCAGTTTAGGGAACAAGAAAARGTCACAGGGGGCCAGATATGGTGGCTGCGGCATCATCAGTGTGTTGTTTTTGGCCAAAAAGTCGCGCACAAGCAACGATGTGTGAGTAGGGGCGTTATCCTGGTGCAAAAGCCAATTCTTGTCACATCTTCTCGGCCTTCTGAGGACATTTTGTACCACCGATAAACATTGCTTCGGTCCAAGGTAGCTTCTCCGTATGCCACAGTCAACATTCGAAATGCATCCGCGCAATTAATTTTGTTTTTCACACAAAATTTGATACAGGTTCTTTGATCCAGTTTTTTGAATAGGTAAAAATCGAAGACGATCCAAAACATATGCAAGCAAAGCAGCTGTCAACAATTAAATGAACATTCAAAATGGCCGAGCTTGTCGGCATAAGGAAAGACATGAGTAGCAACATAACGCCACAAAAAATTCGAAATTCGAATATACGTAACCCGCGAAAATTCAAAATTCGCGAAACGTTTTGGACACACCTCGTACAAAAAATCCATTTAACGCATAGTCACAATGTGGCCAAGGACAGAATGCGTGTGAGGTAATAAGATTGCGAAAAAGTAAAATAAAAATGGGACGAAAACAATGGCAGGACGTCGGAAGGAATGTCCAGCATTAAAACATTCTAATATTTTGAGATAACATTGGTGGAAATGTGTTTTTATGGCATGCAATCTTTGTTTTGAGAAATTTSTAGTGCCCTAAATTGATGGGCGGAAAATTTATATTAAATGGTAAAGATCTTATTAAGGTTTAGGATAATGAGAAACTAAGGTCAAAATTTAAATTAATCTCTTGTAGCTACTATAAAACATGTTATATAATATTATATCATAACCTATAAATCACTCAATCACTTCTTGATCGGGCAGCATTGCAAAGATGTTCAATGTTTTTGATAGAGATGAACGCGTTTATAATGTATTTTATTACTGTCTCTTATACACATCTAGATGTGTATAAGAGGCAGCGGGCGGGGATTACTTTGAAGAAGGCGAAAT